TAATATTGCAAATACCTGACTAAAGAATATCATATTGTAAATACCTGACTGTATAGAATATAATATTGTAAATACCTGACTGTATAGAATATAATATTGTAAATACCTGACTAAAGAATATAATATTGTAAATACTTAACTGTATAGAATATAATATTGTAAATACCTGACTGTATAGAATATAATATTGTAAATACCTGACTGTATAGAATATAATATTGTAAATACCTGACTGTATAGAATATAATATTGTAAATACCTGACTGTATAGAATATAATATTGCAAATACCTGACTGTTTAGAATATAATATTGTAAATACCTGACTAAAGAATATAACATTGTAAATACCTGACTAAAGAATATAACATTGTAAATACCTGACTGTATAGAATATAATATTGTAAATACCTGACTGTATAGAATATAATATTGTAAATACCTGACTGTTTAGAATATAACATTGTAAATACCTGACTAAAGAATATAACATTGTAAATACCTGACTGTATAGAATATAATATTGTAAATACCTGACTGTATAGAATATAATATTGTAAATACCTGACTGTATAGAATATAACATTGTAAATACCTGACTAAAGAATATAATATTTAAATACCTGACTGTATTGTATAACAATATGATAGCACCTTTTAATTTTTTTAACAGATTTATCGACTTTGGACGACAAGATGCGCAACAGGCAGTATAGAAAGTTGGGTGAATTCATTGGTGATGTGACAAAAATCTTTGATAATTGTCGTTTTTATAATCCTTCTGATTCTCCATTTTTTCAGTGTGCTGATGTTTTGGAGAAGTTTTTTGTACAAAAAATTAAAATGATTCAACAGACTATCAGTCTTTGAGAATAGTCATCATTGTCTTGGTGATATTTATTATTAGGTTTGTAATGATCAATAGTAAGAAAGTTTTAATTTTTTTTTTCTTGAATATAAACTGAATAACTTTCTATTTTATATTGAATTACATCATCGATATTGAAGATGATATCCCTCATACTGTATATTTATTAATAGATTATGAATTAATTTAAGCTCTGAGAGTGACACAGGGAAATAACAGTGCCTATTTATAAAGTAATAAATGCTGTATTGTCTATGAGGCACCGAGGGCGCTGCTGCGGCAAATGTTAGATTAACATCAGTATTTTGGGGAAGTGTTAGATTTTCACTCATTGTACATACAACCCTAGGATTTCTGAGTAATGTTTAATTAATGGAAACAATAATTAACGTTGCTCCACCTTTTGTAAATGGCCCAAACTGTTATAATGAATACATTAACAGTTTGCATCTGTCATTGGCAATGTGCATTAAAGTAGAATTGTCATGCACTAATGCTTGTAGACATTCTGTGTATTTTATATTTTTGTTTTTCTATCATATTTATTATTACATTCACATTATTTGGTTACTATAGTTGGCTTCAAATCATGTAACTTTTTTTGTGAGTTTAATAAAGATGTCTTTCAAAATACAGGAAATGTTTGTGTATTGTTATGGCAATCACAATGTGTATGTTCTATGGGAACCTGTCAAACACAAATTATTTTCTACGGGAACCTGCCAATCACAATGTATGTCCTATGGGAACCTGCCAATCACAATGTGTGTTCTATGAGAACCTGCCAAACACAATATATTTTCTACGGGAACCTGCCAACACAATGCATGTCCTATGGGAACCTGCCAAACACAGTGTATGTCCTATGGGAACCTGCCAAACACAGTGTATGTCCTATGGGAACCTGCCAAACACAGTGTATGTTCTATCGGAACCTGCCAATCACAATGCGTATTCGATGGGAACCTGCCGATCACAATATTTTCTATGGGAACCTGCCAAACACAATGTATGTTCTATGGGAACCTGCCAAACATAATGTATGTTCTATGGGAACCTGCCAACAACAATGTATTTTCTATGGGAACCTGCCAATCGCAGTGTATTTTCTATGGGAACCTGCCAAACAATGTATTTTCTATTGGAACATGTCAATCACAACGTATGTTCTATGGGAACCTGCCAAACACAGCGTATGTTCTATGGGATTCTGTCAAACACAATGTATGTCCTATGGGAACCTGCCAAACAATGTATGTTCTATGTGAACCTGCCAATTACAATTTATGTTCCATGGGAACCTGTCAATCTCAATAAATGTTGCATAGGGTTCTGCCAATCACAATGAATGTTGTATGATAAACTGCCAGTCACAATTTATGTTCTATGAGAACCTGCCAATTACAATGTGTCTTCTATGGGAACCTGCCAAACACAATGTATGTTCGATGGGAACCTGTCAAACACAATGTATTTTCTATGGGAACCTGCCAAACACAATGTATGTTCTATGGGAACCTGCCAATCACAATGTGTGTTCTATGGGAACCTGCCAAACACAATTCATGTTCTATGGGAACCTGCCAGACACAATACATTTTGCGTGGCAACCTGCCAATGACAATAAATGTTGCATGGGAACCTGCCAATCACAATAAATGTTGCATAGCGACCTGCCAATCACAATAAATGTTGCATAAAAACCTGCCAATCACAATAAATGTTGCATAGAAACCTGCCAATCACAATAAATGTTGCATGGGAACCTGCCAATCA